GGGGACCCATACTTTCTCAATGAGCAGTTAGTCCTTGTCCATTTGTTTATTTGGTCCTTCCTCCTTTTACTCTTCTTTTCTCTCCGATTTGCTCGTCCTAATGATGCCTTTGGACTTACGTTACTATTCATGATTCTCTCATGGCTAAAATGAAGAGAAGAATAAACCTTGTTATCTATCTAAATTTACGCCACTGGGTATACTTGGGACAGAGCCACGCCCATCCCATCGCCGTCAATAGATGGTCAGGATGTCCACAGGTATATAAGGGGCGGCTGCCGCTTTACCCGACAGACAGCTCCTCGACGGTGGGTCAACATGAACGCTCTGGTAAGCTCTACGACACAGAATTTTCTTGTGAATGATTCAGTGACATCCTCTTAACTCGACAACATATAATTTCATGAATATGTTTCTGATAAATGGTTTTACTTTTCAGACTGTGATTTCCGTGGCAGCCCTCGTGGCTAGCGGCAGCGCCTCCTTGCTTGCGTACAACGGTGTATATGGAGGCCATCACGGCCTTCTTGGCGCCTATCCTTATGCAGGTTATTCTGGTCTGCACCCTTATTCATATGCAGGTGTCCACCCTTATTCATACGCAGGTGTCCTTCCTGCTGCTGGATCTCTCACTCTTAAAACACCTGTAATCAAGACTGTGGCTCCTGCACCTGTCTCTTACAACGTCGCTCCTGCACCTGTGTCCTACAACGTAGCTCCCTTCGCACCTGTAGCACCTGTCCAGTCTCAGTATCACGCTCAGGACGAGATCGGTCAGTACTCCTTCGGATACGCCGGCGGCCCTTCTTCACGTGCTGAGTCTCGCGACGCCTTCGGTGTTGTCCGTGGTTCATACAACTATGTGGACTCTGAGGGAAAGGTTCAGACTCAGCACTACGTGGCTGACGCCCTCGGATTCCGTGTGTCCGGAACTAACCTGCCAGTGGCTCCCGACGCCCCTGAGGCCGCCCCTCTGGCCGCCCTTCCCGGTCCCATTCCCGAACCCGTCCAGGACACTCCTGAGGTAGCCGCCGCTAAGGTCGCCCATCAGCAAGCCTACGACGAAGCTGCAGCCGCCGCCGCTGCCGCCCCCGACACCCGCAAGAAGCGCTCCGTACTTGCGGCTCCCGGCCTCGGCGTCTACTCTCATCTTCGTTTCTCCTACGGCTTCTCCACTCCCCTCCACTACGCCCACCCAGCACCCTATGCTTCTCCTCTGCACTACACTGCCGCCCATCCCACGCTCACCACCTACAACGCTGCCCACGTCCCCACCACATACGCCGCCGCCGCCGGACCCGCTCTCCGTGACGCTGAGCTCCTCCGTGTGGTCCACAACCCCAGCCACGCCACCTCCTACCGCGTGCTCAACTGAGTGCCACGAACTCATTCACTCACAGTCGCTTGCGTGGACATGGTGTGTAGAGCACTCGCTCGGTCATTTGCTTGACTTTCACATAAGATGAAGTGGAAAGCTTTATCGTATATTTGGAAAGTATCGGGTGAAGTGTTGACACCTGCCATGTCTCAGTGTGTACACTTTAAAAGTGGAGTCATATTAGTAAAATAATTAAATATATAAAGGAACATAGTTTTATGAATTATTTACCTTCATTTTATCAATGATAATTTCTCTATATGATTAATGGTTAGTAAAACGTTTTCATATTACCATGGCATCTCTCGTGTTGTGTGCGTGCATATAGTGTGTGTTATCTACATATATGTGTGTATGTGTATTCATATTCATTGTACATGAGTACCTATATTAAGCTACGGCATACCGACCAGTCAATAGAATTTGTTGCTTCTGGGTCTTAACATTTCTCAATCGAATGGTACAATATGAAGACATCGATATGAGATTATTCTCTAACAGCACATTATGGTGAGTCTTTATAACATTCCCAAGTGACAAAATGAGCTCTAAAAGCGGCGGTTATTGTTCCGGAACATTTTGCCAAATGCGTAAATGAAAGGCTGACATACTATTATCCATCCATACATGAATATATAGATAAGCCTACGTGTATGTACATATATACTTACATACAATAAGCAAATTCATACACATATGTGTGTGTGCGGATGTGTGTCTGTTGTATATGTGTATACAAACACATATATACATACATATATATATATATGTAATCTGCACATGTATATTTATTCATATATGCATACATGAATGTAAAATATATATTTATGTATATATATGTGCGTGTACATATATACATATATAAATGCACATGTATATCTATTTATATGTATGAATATGAATATATATGTGCATAAATATGTATGTATATATATAGACATACTTATATATATATATATATATATACATGTGTGTATATATATATTTATACACATATATATAGTATGATAATGTATATTTATATGTGCATATAATAATATATATATATGTGTGTGTGTTGGTGTACGTGTATGTGCATATATGCATACATATATATATGTGTGTGTGTGTGTGTGCTTATATGTGTGTGTTTTAAATAGATGTGTGTATGTGTGTGTGTGTGTGTGTGAGTGTGTGTGTATGTGTACATATGCATATATATTCACATATATATCTATATGTCCATATGTTACATATATATATCATACTGTACATAGATATACATATATATATGTGTGTGTGTGAATATGTATATATATTCACATATATATCTATATGTCAATATGTTACATATATATATATATATATATATATATATACGCATATGTATTTAAGCATGGGCGTATATATGTATGTATGTATATGCGTGTGTGTGTGACTGCTGCTATGATCCCATACTTTAAGCACGTGGTTCCGATTTCAAATCACACCTGCGGCAGTTGTAAATTGCCCGCGCTCCGATTGCTGACTCTAGCCCGACCAAACGGCGGGACACCGAAAGATTACCTTGAGATATATATATATAGCAGGCGTCGTTGGGGAAGTAACTGCCGTGGCACAAGTGGTATCAAGCTGAACTGCGGTTGATTAGGAAGGGCATCCAGTCAGTCACGGTTGGTACTGCTTATTGTCCTCTCTATTATGAGCTGAGAGAGGCCTAGGTCCTGCAATGAAATGCATGGTTGTTAAATGATGATAAATATATAAGCATATATGTATGCATATATATATATGTGTGTGTGTGTGTATATATATGTGTGTGTGTATATATGTATATATGTGCGTTTGTATGTTGATATATATACATTTATATATATATACATACATATAGATATATATGTATATGTATGTATATATATATGTGTGTGTGTGTGTGTGTGTAAATACACCCCCACGCATAAATATATTGAACATATCACATATACATGTGCACACACACTCATAGATATTTGTTATTTTTAACTTTTATTGCCGAAAATGTGATGTTCAAGATTATCTGTTCACTGTTCATAGTAGTAATAAATTCTATATTCCACCAAGTGAGATTCATATTACCATCCAAGGGAAAATACATGAAAAGCAAAGTATGATTTTCTTTCTTCTTCTCTCTCTTTTATTTCCGAGAGGAAGCTAGACTTGAAAGGCTGGAGCTGATTGACTGAATGCAGCCGATCCGAAAGGCACAAAAGTATATTATGTAATCATCAGCAATGTATCATTTATCAATAGTCATATTTGTCATCACTATTAAACTGTCAAGTTGTTATTATAATCATTATTATTATTATATCAATGCCTAGATAGAATTTAGTAAATGGGTGTTTTTTATTACACTTTACAAGAGGAAAGTCTTGTACGAAATCAATAAATCAAATTTCACTAAACAATCATGTTACAATGTATATAGATCATCTATAAGGTTATTACCTCTGTTACATATAACTTTCAATTCCTTTACCATAAATATATATAGATTTATGATAATGCATATAAGTGTTTGTACTGTGAAAAGCAAAACAGAATCCTTAGCTTGCAAAAATACTTCTATATCTCTACATCTTTCATTTTTTTCTATGTTTCTTTCTTTCCTCTTTCTTTCTTGCGAATCATGCATAATACTCACTATTGGATTTTTGTGTTGCAACCCCAAAACAAATAGCATTATATGATAAAAGTACTTGAGCTCATATCCTGTAATACTTCAGTGTAATACTGTATTTTCCATTGTAAATCAGCTGAAATTGCGTTATAGCATATGATTTGGGAAATGAGTTTTGGTTTACCATATTACGGAAAATTTTGGTTATGGAACTAAGCTTGATGATAATCTGTAATAATTTACATTGCATTATTGTAAACCTAAAAATTCATTACTGTAATGTAGTTAATGATATAACTTCTTTATCATTTATGCAGTCATGAGGAATGCTATGGCGACAAAACAAATACATTACATGTCAAAATGTGAAATTAAAATATTTTCAAATGTTGACAGAAATACGATTCACATATATATATGTGTGCGTGGATGTTTGTGTTTTGGATGAAATCCCTCGTATCATAAAATTCTTGCTTAGTCTCATAATTGTACCGTGACTGCAAACAATAGCATATAGGTAAATAAAATTTACACACACATAAATATGTATTTATACACATATATACATATATATGCATATATATGTATATATATAGCTAAGATGTTTCAGTAGGCTTGTGTGTTGATGTTACTAAGGCCATGTTTGAATGGCTTTAGTAGCTTTTAGTTTCCCGACCAAAATTCCCACCACATCAAGATTCAACATCGAAATGACTGAGGCCATAGTGATATATTTATACGTATGTGTAATGACTGAGACTATAGTGATATATTTATGCGTATGTATAACGTGGGCCTTTCGTATCTATTTTTCTTGAACTGTACATCCTTCATCCCGTTCATGCTATGCCTCCGGGCACCGGGCTGTAAACACCCGGATGTGGGGAAAGGACGAGGCCCCGCCCATGTGATCACCCTGGACGGCGGTCATGGAGGCTTCGGCTATAAAAGGGACAACTGCGGTCATTTTCGTCAGACAGCTCCTCGTCGGTGGGTCAACATGAACGCTCTGGTAAGTGCAGTGCTGATACACCTAAGCTTAGAAAAATATATTTGTAGAACAATTCCTGTGAAGAATTACACGAATTCTAATTTATGTATTTTTCAGACTGTGATTTCCGTGGCGGCCCTCGTGGCTGGTGGCAGCGCCTCCTTGCTTGCGTACAACGGCGTATATGGAGGCCATCACGGCCTTCTTGGCGCCTATCCTTATGCAGGGTATACTGGTCTGCACCCTTACTCATACGCAGGTGTCCACCCTTACTCATACGCAGGTGTCCTTCCTGCAGCGGCTCATCTCAACCTCAAAACACCTGTGGTCAACGCCGTGGCTCCTGCTCCTGTCTCTTACAGCGTAGCTCCCTTCGCACCTGTAGCACCTGTCCAGTCTCAGTACCACGCTCAGGATGAGCTCGGTCAGTACTCCTTCGGTTACGCCGGCGGTCCTTCTTCACGTGCTGAGTCTCGCGATGCCTTCGGTGTTGTCCGTGGTTCATACAACTACGTGGACTCCGAGGGAAAGGTTCAGACTCAGCACTACGTGGCTGACGCCCTCGGATTCCGTGTGTCCGGAACTAACCTTCCAGTGGCTCCCGACGCCCCCGAGGCCGCCCCTCTCGCCGCCCTTCCCGGTCCCCTTCCCGAACCCGTCCAGGACACTCCTGAGGTAGCCGCCGCCAAGGCCGCCCATCAGCAAGCCTACGACGAAGCTGCAGCCGCCGCCGCTGCCGCCCCCGACACCCGCAAGAAGCGCTCCGTCCTTGCGGCTCCCGGCCTCGGCGTCTACTCTCCTCTCCGTTTCTCCTACGGCTTCTCCACTCCCCTCCACTACGCCCACCCAGCACCCTATGCTTCTCCTCTTCACTACACTGCCGCCCATCCCGCCCTCACCACCTACAATGCCGCCCACGTCCCCACCACATACGCTGCCGCCGCCGGACCCGCTCTCCGTGACGCCGAGCTCCTCCGTGTGGTCCACAACCCCAGCCACGCCACCTCCTACCGCGTGCTCAACTGAGTGCCAGGAATCCAGTCATTCACGTGATGTGTGTAGAGCGTCGGCCTTGATCTTTTCTGCATATCATGAAGAGGTTTGGGCTGAACGTTGACACACCTCAATATTTGTACAAAGAGCGTCGATAAAAAAAACAAATTGTGTTTCTCAAATAAACAAATGTTAAAGATCTCTAATGAGTTTACAAAGCCAATAAAAGCTTGATAATTGTCGCCCTAAAAGTATTCTGTCTTTCTAGGCAGCATGTATGCGCATATATGTGTTTATAATCTTTGTGCATATATATACAACGCACATATTCACACACGCACATACATATATACACACACATGCACACTACACGTTCACGTATGCACTTCACACATATTTTTTTGAGATTCTAAACGGTATGGTACCAGATGTCCATCTCTAGGAGGATGTACTTATTATTCATCAAACAGAACAAAGAAAGAGTACTAAATTACCAAAACATGAATTCTTCCACTAAGTCTGGAACAACCACAGTAGCATATGATCAGTATTATCAAATGCCGTAAACACTTTCGAATTACAATTTCAAAATTCAAAATACATCAATATGTAGCTCCATTTTCAAATATCTTAGGCTATAGTAAATAGATGAATATATAAAGAAAGAAACGATGTTAAACCGGAGCTTTTGCAGTTTGTAAAAAAAAAAAAAAAATTAAAATGCCCATCTTTCTGATTCAGAATAAGGAATTCTAGGTACGGAATAATAGATTTTAAATAATTAAGATCGGATTATGACTCCATTCTGCGGATATTATTGATATCAACATTAGAATCATTATCATTATTATCATGAACAGAGGGGCATGGGGAGCTAATGGGAAATTTAGGATTCCTCACTGCAAGTCAACCTATGCCCAACGTTGAGCTATTGTTAAGGCCATAAATATACTACCCTTAGTCTATCATAACCAGAACCTTTGATTTGCCCTAATATTTTCGAAACTGATTGCTGTAGGCTCTCTTACCATCAATTAATATACCATATTATATAACCTGCATTGCTGCTGATTACAATACTTTAATTTAGCTTTGAATAAGGATTGTTCTTTTTATTAGTAATGCGTTCTCAAAATGCTCTGTATCCTTATAATGATGTTGCCATTGCTGGTATTGGTATTAATATTAATATTTTTATAATCACTATAGTATGATCATAGTTAATCTCTTTAGTATCATTATCATAATCATTGTTATCATAAGTAGTAGTAGTAACAGTATTATATCATTATTAATGTTATCATCGTTATCAATATCATTATCATCATAATCATCATTATTACCATTATTATTACTATTACTATAATTATCATTATTACTATTATTTTTCTTATTAACATTTTCATTATTAACTTTATGATTTTCTTCATTATTAACGTTATCATTATCATTATCCTAATAGCAATGCCAATCATTTTCATTATTATTCTTATATATTTGGCTGGAATACCGCATTACAATCAAAAGTATTGTACTGGTGAAAAGCGACTTTTCTATCATGTACTAATTTTTAACTCTGACGACGGCAGCTGAATTGTACAATATCATTTATTTTCATATTTTCAATTATGAATACAGGGCGATCAGACAGATGTGCGAAAACGTCGACATTTGTGTGCGCAAATACACACACACACACATACACACACACACACACACACACACACACGCACACAAATATATATACGTATGTGTGCTTAGCGCTTACATATAGCGGTTACCCCAACTCCATCCCGGACCTACAGAACTGTATCAGGAGAAGGGATCAGGATGTGAAAGAAAGGGAAAGCCACGCCCTCGACGACACTACACTGATAATGGCCAAGATGTTCACCCACGTATTCAAGGGGCGATTAAAGTCAATGCCCCAAGACAGTGTTTAGATGACGGGACAGCATTAACACTCTGGTGAGTCTAGGAAAACTAGATTTCGTTGAGGTCGAATGATTTAAACTTGTCATGTACTACAATGTACTCTAATAGAAGTGGTCCTTTTCAGACGGCAAATTCCGTTGGTGGCTCTCGTGGCTAGCGTCAGCGCCTCCCAGCTCGCGTACAAACAATACAAATGCTGACTACCACGGCCTTCTTGGCGTCTATATTTATGCAGGTCATTCTGGTCTGCACCCTTACTCATACGCAGGTGTCCTTCCTGCAGCTGATCCTTTCACCTTCATGACCGTGGTTTCTGCACCTGGCTCATACATCGTCGCTGCCGCACCTAAGGATGATAAATTGTAACAATAATGACAATAATAATGATGATAATAATGATCATAATAAAATGTAAATTATAATGATAATGATTTAAATTTAATGATAATAATGGTTTTGATAAAAGAGCAATAACAATGATAATGATAGTTATAATAAATAATGATGTTAAAGTTAATGATAATAATGGTTTTGATAAAAGAGCAATAACAATGATAATGATAGTTGTAATAAAAATGATAAAATAAAATGATAATGACAGTAATAACGACAATGACAATAATGATAGTGATTATAACAAAAAATAATGATAGCATTAATTATAATAACGATAAACGGGGTTGAAATCGCTCCAATTAGCTGTAAAATATATAAGAATCCCATTTAAACACGTCGATTCGCGGGGGGGAGAGGGGGGGGGGTTAAGAAGGAAGAAAGCAGGGGAAGGGAATAAAGGAAAGGGGAGAAGAAGGGAGGGGAAGGAAGCCCAAAGAAGAAGGGGGGAAGGGCAGGCGAAGGGACCTAAAGTGAAAAGGGAAATGGAGAAGGCGAAAGGAACGAGAAACTGAGGGGACTTAAAGAGAAGAAGAGAATGGGGAAAGGAGAAAGAGATGGGGACTCAGAGAGGAAGAAGGGGAATGGGGAAGGAAGGAAAGGGGAAAAGAGAGAGAAGGAAGTGGGGAAAGGAGAAAGAAACAGAGGAAAGGGGGAGGGAACCGAAGCAGGGCTTAAAGCGGAGAAGTGAATTTAAAACAAGATTTGGGAGCGAGACGAAGGAATGGCAGAGCTGGGAAGAGAATGGGAGAAGGAGTGGGAAAAGAGAAGTAAGAGAGAAGCCGATAGGCTGAAGGAGGAGGAGAAGAGGAGGGGAGATTACTCTTGATTTTTATTAGTTCCCTTGGAATGATAACAGGAATACAGATGATGACAATAGTAGTAATGATTATGATAATGATAATAACAATGGTAATGATAGTGATAATAATGATAATGATATTAATAATAATAATAATAATAATAATGATGATGATGATAGTAGCAGTAGCAGTAAAATAGTATTCGTAATAGTAATATTAATGATAATCCTTGTATGGTTATAACAGTAAAAATAAAGATAATAATAATATTGATAATAATAACAGTAATGGAAGTAGTAATAATAATAGCGATAGTTTTAATAATCATAGTAGTAGTACTAGTTCTGATAATAACAATGATTATATTAATAATAATAGTGATAATAATTATAATGATAATGGTAAAACAATAATATTAATATCATTATTAATAATAATAACAATAAGGATGACAATTACAACAATAATAATTACAATAATATTGATAGTTATAATAATGATAAATAAAATGATAATAATGACAACAGTAATAATAATTATATTAATATTAATAATGATAATAATAATAATAATGATACTAATGATAATAATAATAATAATAATAATAATAATAATAATAGTAGTAGCAATAATGATAATGATAATATTAATAATAAAATAATGATAACAATAAGGATCATAATAATAATAAAAATTATAACAATTTATATAATGATAATAACAATAATAATGATAACCGAATTAGAAATTCAGCATAGTGCATCTAGTTTATCAAGGCTACTTGAAAGCATTGGTGCGTATCTAATAAAAGTGATCATAAGTCTAATAAAGAATAGACAAACAAACAAATAAATAGAATGATTTTCAACCGTCATCTAGTGGTTGTCTCATTCACGTGTTCCAGGTCTACAAAGGACAAATGAAAGCCTACGCCACAGGTAGTCGCCTCGAGGCATCTCTCCCACATTCTTGAGTATCTGTAGCATTGAAGGAGGTTGGAAAGTATCACGTGATGAATGAAGTAAAAATGTAGTAATTAATGAGTACGTTGAATGTTTTTTATTGTTATTATTAGTTGTGCAATGACTATAAAATATTGTGATGTATTATTATAACAGAGCATGACTATATTGCCATTCCTGCTGAGAGGTTTATTTCCGTAATATTTCAGGTTTTTCAGATATTTAACGCGGTATCTTCCATGATATAGATAACATAATGTAAATTTATATTCACTACTCACCGTATGTACTCGGCTCCTCTTAGCTTACCCCGGAACTAGGTAATCACCGCCATACAAACGGAGCGGCAACGGCGGGCCTATTGAACCACGCCCTCCGCGCCAGTGTTAAGCTGAGGGTCAAGGCGACTTCCCGGAGTATATAAGGGGCTGCCTCCGCCATACCCGGCAGACAGCTCCTCGACGGTGGGTCAACATGAACGCTCTGGTGAGTACTACAACTGAGGTTTTAGTATTTTCGTGATTATATATATATATATATATATATATATATGTATATATATATATATATATGTATATACATATATATATATGCATACACACAAACACACACATATATATAAATATATACTGTGTGTATATATATTCATATACTTATTCATATATGTATATATATATTGCTTGGTTGATCTCTGGTGACAAATGCCTCTTTTCAGACTGTGATTTCCGTGGCGGCCCTCGTGGCAAGCGGCAGTGCTGCTGTGGTTCCTTATAACGGCGTATATGGAGGCTACCATGGCCTTCTTGGCGCCTATCCTTATGCAGGCTATTCTGGTCTGCTCCCCTACGCATACACAGGTGCCCTTCCAGCAGCTGCTCCTCTCACCCTCAAAACGCCTGTGGTTAAGGCCGTGGCTCCTACACCTGTCACATACAACGTCGCTGCCGCACCTCTTGCTTACAACGTAGCTCCCTTCGCACCTGTAGCACCTGTCCAGTCTCAGTACCACGCCCAGGACGAGATCGGTCAGTACTCCTTCGGTTACGCCGGCGGTCCATCTTCCCGAGCTGAGACTCGTGATGCCTTCGGTGTTGTCCGTGGCTCTTACAACTACGTGGACTCTGAGGGAAAGGTTCAGACCCAGCACTACGTGGCTGATGCCCTCGGATTCCGTGTGTCCGGCACCAACCTTCCAGTGGCTCCTGACGCCCCCGAGGCCGCCCCTCTGTCCGCCCTTCCCGGCCCCATCCCCGAGCCTGTTCAGGACACCCCTGAGGTTGCCGCCGCCAAGGTCGCCCACCAGCAGGCCTACGACGAAGCCGCAGCCGCCGCCGCTGCCGCCCCCGACACCCAGTGAGAATTTCTAACTGGGGAAAACACAGTGATATGTTCTACAGTACATGGTGTGTAGAGCACTCGAGACCAAGTTCGTCGACCACCAAGACCTTGCTTGGGATCTTGTGTTGACCACCATAGCTTGTACATATGTAAGGAGCGCATTCCTTTCCATGAAATGAAGAGCTTTTTGAAAGTCAAAAAATAAATAATATTTGTACTTTATATGAGTTTTCATTTTTTGAACCACACAAAGAGTAAGCAATGGTAATAAACAAGCAAAACTCATGTAGTCTGAGAAAAAGGGTCTGATCTCTACAAAACGTCGGTAAACATAACATGTGAATATATAACGGAAATATCTAAATTTCTTAAGTACAACTTAAGAAAAATACAAATATCTTGATTTCACTCAATATTTTATATATCTTACCTTCGCTCATGCCATGAATATCAGATTTTAAAAAGTCAATTTAAATGCACTAGGAAGATTTTAAATATTTTTTGCTGTAAAGACGAGAACATAACTTTAAATTGATAGGATTTAAATTGTATGAGACCTGCTACTAGTTTAAAGTCCATATATGAATGCACTCTACACTGCGTAGTATCAGATATAGAATGCATTATCCAGACTTAAATAAAGATACGAAAGTTTCCATGGCATTTACAGTGACTAAAAGCTTTCATTAGATCCAGTCGCTTAGATTATCCAATTTCCTCATTGCTGTATCATGTATTTCGTCAGGATGTGCGGGACACATTTCCACTTCTCAAAGGGCTATAGGTAATAATTGCGATCATTACATTAAGTATCCTAATTAAAGATTTGATTATCATTAGCAATTTATTGGCGCCTGGTCGTGAGCCCATCATAACTTCACAAAGGAACTTAAAGTATGTGGACTGTAAATAGAATCGCATTTTGTATATTAATGAGAGGATACCCAACTCCTCCTATTGTTGTTTTAGACATGATATTGATTGTTTTCTTGCTAATAATATATTACCATTCATTACTCATATCACATTCTGTAGGACCTAACCTGAGGTAAGTGCTGGGGTGAGTCAGTCGCTTTAGATCTGTCTTTCTATGTTATGTAGGCCCTATTATTCCAGCAACTGTGCTTTTTATTCGTATACCACGCAAGCAGTACAAGATGGAAGAGATTTTAAGTGTGAGCAAAATATATGAAATTAATAGAAAGCCCTATTTCTTAAGCTAAGGGAAATAAGTAAGGAGAAACAAATGAGAGGCTTCATGGGAAACCGTTCGAAAAGTTTGTCCGTGGCTTGTCCACATAGTTGTACGAACCACGGACAACACCGAAGGCGTCGCGAGACTCGTGGCGCGTGAAGAAGGACCCCCGGCGTAACCGAAGGAGTACTGACCGAGCTCGTCCTGAGCGTGATACTGAGACTGGACAGGTGCTACAGGTGCGAAGGGAGCTGCGTTGTAGGAGACAGGTACAGGAACGGCGTGTAGGAGCAGGAGCCACAGTCTTGATTATAAGTGTTTTGAGGGTGACAGCAGCTGCAGGAAGGACACCTGCGTATGAGTAAGTGTGCAGACCAGAATAACTTGCGTAAGGATAGGCGCCAAGAAGGCCGTGATGGCTTCCATGTACGCCATTGTACGCAAGTAAGCATGCGCTGCCGTTAGCCACGAGGGCTGCCATGGAAATCACAGTCTGAAATACACCACTTCGATTAGATTTTTAAATAAATAATTTGCATTTCAACTTGAAAGAAACCGGCAAATTGTAAAGGGACTCCTTCGTTCAACCTTAGCAAACACTGTGGGTTTTAAAGTCACCAGAGCGTTCATGTTGACCCACCGTCCAAGAGCTGCCTGGTGCCCATGGATATAATACCGCCTTAAATACCTTGGAAACATTTTGAGCATATCTCAGAAAATGGCGCAATGGCGTGGCTTTCTCTCCTTTTTACATCTTATTTTACGGACTATATAGATTTATATAAATTTATGAATGGATATACATAGATATATATTGTAGTCAAATCTTGTACTTCCATGATAGCCTGCAACAAAGGAAATAAAAAATTAAGGCTTTAGATTGGATATACAAGCACCATGATAATTTAATGATGATAAATTATCACAATCATCATTGTATATAACGTTAATACCATTGCTCTCATCTTGTTCTTGATTTTGCTGTTGCCTTGTTAGTATTGTTTCTATTACTACAATGGTTATAGTTTTCATCCTTATTTTATTTATATTATTCCTATTGTTATCATTATGATCATTATGATCATTATAATTGTTGCTGCAAGTAGTGGTATTATTACGATTATTATCATTGTCATTATTTTTCTTGTTATTGTCATTATTTTTGTTATCATTATTACTATTCCCTATGTTTATCATTAGTAGTAATAGTGGCAATATCACTATAACTAACAGGAATATCGTCATTATTATCATTAGTAGTAATAGTATTATCATTCACATCACTATAATTATGTTTACCTTTATTAGTAGTAGAAGTATCATTATCATCATTATTATCATTACTTTCCATTATCATCAATATCATCGTTATCATATCACTATTATTGCATTCGTTATTATTTTCAGTACTGTATCATTATCATTATTAATATTTTTATCATTAACATACTATTTTTATTGATATCATTTATATCATTATTATAAATACTATTATTATTATTATTATCATTATTGTTAATGTTATCCCAATCATCATGATGTTATTATTGTTATCGCTGCTATCACCACTATTATGACTGTTGTCAATATTATGATTACTATTATTGTTATCATTGTTATTGTTATTGTTGCTGTTGTTATTGTTATCATTATGATTCTTACTATTATCCAAATTATTGTTATCATTATTATCATTTTATTTTCATTATTATTATTGTTGTTATTATTATTATCATTATTATTATTATCATTATCATAATCATCATTCCCATTAATACTAATATCGCTGTTATTGTTATCCTCATTATTGTTATTATCGTTATTGTTAAATTCGTTGTTATTACCATTATTATCATAAGTACAACTTTTATCATTTCCATTATAATGATCATAATTACCTCTGTTACTGTTATTTTTCTTTATTATCTATGCTCTTATTTTAATTATTCCTATCTTTATTATTGTTCTTTCATCATTATCATTATTATCAGTGATGTCGGATTTTTATTACTGATCATTGTTATTTTCATATAATTAACCTTTTAAATATCATCATTACCATTAATATCATTATCATCATTATCGATACTTGTAATAAGCTACTATTTTAAGATTATCTTTCTAATCATTGTTTTTTGTTATCTTTATCATGGTTATATTTACTACTTTAGTCGTTATTATCACCATTCTGTTTGGTAGCCTCATCACAACAATGAAATTTGGGTTGCGGGGGGGGGGGGGAGTTAGTTCCATAGGAAGAAAATGATTCTGAATATATTATGCAAATGTCCTTCATATTTGGGCAGTAGAGGGTGACAGGAATGATCGGTCATGCGAAGGTATTCTGAATAATTACTTATACGTGTTACTAATTCATATCATTAAGTTCGTATATATATAATGAGTTTATATATAATGAAGGTTATTAGCATGGGTATTATTGATAAACGATATTCCTTGTTCATTATTCAACCGTTATGTGGAGTTACTGTTAAGTTGTATGGTAGTGAGTGTGTAGGAATATATAGATAAGCTTTGTCTTACAAGGTGTTGAAACCCCCCCCCCCCCCCCCAGTAGAGGTCAGGAATGGCGGCGGTAAAAACTGGCCGGAAAAAAGAGAGAAAATAAGAAAGGTAAGGGTAGAAATAGGAAGCGGAGATTACAGTGATCACTGTAAATTTGAAATATATGACTCCATGAAAGTTTTCATTTTTTCTGCGACTATTTAAATTTTCTTTTTGTTCTAATAATACACACACATATATGTCTCTATGTGCGTTTTTGTCTGTCCTTGTATGTTTAATTGTATTTGTAGGCGTTCGATATGCATTTGTATATGCGTGCATTTGTGTGTATGTGACCATAGATATCTAGAGCATGTAAATCTGAGTGTTTTTTATTGTTGTTGCTCTGGTGTGTATAATATTAGTACACTGCGGTTTAGGTTCAGGACACTATGCTGACATCAGTATCATTTTACTTAAAAAATGAAACATACTTCGCTCTTTGTACAGATAGTGAGATGTGACAAAACATCATAAAATGCACTTTTCACACCTGACGACTCAGTGGATATCCTGGCACTCAGTTGAGCACGCGGTAGGAGGTGGCGTGGCCGGGGTTGTGGACCACACGGAGGAGCTCGGCGTCACGGAGAGCGGGTCCGGCGGCAGCAGCGTATGTGGTGGGGACGTGGGCGGCGTTGTAGGTGGTGAGGGTGGGATGGGCGGCAGTGTAGTGAAGAGGAGAAGCATAGGGTGCTGGGTGGGCGTAATGGAGGGGAGTGGAGAAGCCGTAGGAGAAACGGAGAGGAGAGTAGACACCGAGGCCGGGAGCCGCAAGGACGGAGCGCTTCTTGCGGGTGTCGGGGGCGGCAGCGGCGGCGGCTGCAGCTTCGTCGTAAGCCAGCTGATGGGCGACCTTAGCGGCGGCTACCTCAGGAGTGTCCTGGACGGGTTCGGGAAGAGGACCTGGAAGGGCGGCCAGAGGAGCAGCCACAGGGGCGTCGGGAGCCACTGGCAGGTTAGTTCCGGACACACGGAAACCGAGGGCGTCAGCCACGTAGTGCTGAGTCTGAACCTTTCCCTCAGAGTCCACGTAGTTGTACGAACCACGGACAACACCGAATGCGTCGCGAGACTCAGCGCGTGAAGAAGGACCACCGGCGTAACCGAAGGAGTACTGACCGATCTCGTCCTGAGCGTGATACTGAGACTGGACAGGTGCTACAGGTGCGAAGGGAGCTACGTTGTAGGATACAGGTGCAGGAGCCACGTTGTAGGATACAGGTGCAGGAGCCACGTTGTAGGATACAGGTGCAGGACCGACATTGTAAGAGACAGGTGCAGGAGCCACAGTTTTAATTACAGGTGTTTTGAGAGTGAGAGGAGCAGCTGAAGGAAGGGCACCTGCGTATGCGTAGGGCAGCACACCAGAATAAACTGCATAAGGATAGGCGCCAAGAAGGCCGTGATGGCCTCCATATGCACCGTTGTACGCAAGCAAGGAGGTGCTGCCGCTAGCCACGAGGGCCGCCACGGAAATCACAGTCTGAAATGGTCACCTTCAGTTACAGCGCATAATGTAATCCAGAAATAAAAGTTTAATTCGGCAACTTTAATACAAAACAAATATACATATATATCTATATATATATAAAAGTTCCCACATTATACCTCAAAAAATAAAAAATAAAAATCCAGCGTTCTTGAACTCACCAGAGCGTTCATGTTGACCCACCGTCAAGGAGCTGTCTGATATCCGTGGATATGTCTGCGCCTTAAATAGCTAGGGAACAAGACCATCTCAGAAAGGGCGTGGCTTCCCTTCCTTTCTATTTCTGATCTTTCGTCGTGATACATAAAACGCTCTAAATCCGGGAGAGAACTTTGAGAAAGTACTTTTATATGTATCACCACTAGGATCCTCGTTTCATTAATATGAGATGGCCTTCAGCAGAGGTATCAAAAGAATGCTTCGGGGACGGCAGGTGGTAGAGAAATTAACAGAAAATCCTGTTCAATTAAAGCTTAATCAAATATTTACCGATAAGTTAAATTATGGAAATAATGATAAATACACTGATAAAAAAAAATTGTCATTTCATCATTTGAAAAACTTTTAGAAAATATTGAATGAAATTTTGAACCGTAGAAATTCCTCAGAGCAATACAATGAAGAATAATTTGTATCGTGATCACGTAAATAAGTTTTACGATTTTTTTTTTCTGAAATAATACTCTGAAATGTGTAACATTTATCTAAAGATCATTAAACATTTAAAGCTGAAAGTAAGACCATGAAAAGGCTAGGTGTAACGAATTTCGCAGAAAGTCTGAACAGGCTGCAGGCTATTATTTTACGCTGGTATCATTTCAGTGTAGGAACAGTGTCTATTTTTTTTTTCTATGACTATCAATAGAAATAGGCATCTCTCATATCATAAAACTGCAAATATTTTTCTTACTCATATAAAAAAGATAATGAAGGGTGAACAGAAACGTATGATAAACTTGTTTGTGAATAAGTATACCTTCATCTAATCCTAAGCAAGTATACAAGAACCCTCTTAATATATAAGGAAAATAAGCCTCTCATTCTAGAAATGATTATTTTCAATTCATAAATAATAAGTTAAATGATAAATTCATAATTTAAAACATAAACCAACAAACCGTGTCCTTTAAAGCAATATATACTGCACTTCATCTACTCGTACCCTCCGCTATTTCTATAACAAGGGAGAATGAGGACCGTGCACAGATTATATATTGATGATCTGCACTGGTATGTTTTATCTCTTAGTAAATATGTTTGGTACATAAATCAGAGAGAAGGCAGTCATGATATATAAAAATTCCACTTTATTTAAGTTTCGTGGTAAAGTACACGAAGTGAACGTTGGAAAAAACGGAAAATCAAACATGCTTATTTGAAATCAAGTGAATGTGCAGTCCTTTGAATAAAGCTGTAGCAATTTTAGGACGTTTAAAGTCATAAGGAATAATTAGATCTTATTTCAGAATTACTGGTACTAATATTACCACCAACCTTGTAAACAGGATTATTTGTTACATCATGTGATTGTTATATTTATTTTCATCATCAATATTATCATGTTCATGAATATTGCTATTACTATTACCATTCTTATCATCTTTATATTCATTATCAGAGCTATAGTAATCATCCCAATCAATAGGGTATTGTCATTAGTATTATAATTATTGAACATGACTGACATTATTACAATCACCATTACTCATTTTCATTATCATTATCATTATCAAAATACGTAGAATATTTTTAACTACATTCAGTCAGCCTTGCAATACAGCCTAAAATTTAAATGTTCTTAAAGCTGCAATCAAAATGGTGTCTTTTAAACATAAAAAAATCCGCCATTTCCAAACAGCTTCTATTTCCTCCGCGGAAGAGTAAAGGCTGGAGATGACATGACATGACTCTCTCATTGCAGGATTTCCAGGTGTCCCCTTTAGTTCGGAATGTAGTGTCATAAGGAATATATCTTGCCCTCCGTGTGTACATCTGGCCTCATAATAAAGCAGTGATAAATTCATGTACGTCAGTCTCACAGTTTGTCTATGGAACGGTATAGAAAGTATTGTGTTAAACAGATTGCTGCTTAAAGTGGAAAACAAGATACATTCGATTTTGCGTTTTCTTGTTTAATTTGATGAAATGAATGAAGAAAAGTGTATATAAGATTGTCCTCTTTAGTAACAGGATTAAAGTTTAAGACGGTCAATGGTTATATACAGTAATTAATGTATATGACGATAGGGACCTAGTTTAAGAATCTGCATTCATTAGCAAACTATTATTGTATATAAAATGAATGTGTGCTAATATGTAAAGACAATTATTAAGACGAAGAACAGACTATTTCTTACGGGAACTTTTATTCAATACTTCGATGAAGTATAAAGGTATCTCACATACACGTGTGTCAACTCTCGATCGAAACTGACTAGTCTTGATACTGTTATCTGATGGCGAGAGCTCTACACACAGATATGCTGCAATTTCCAAAGCAGAAACCCTCTCTAGCGGGTGTCGGGAGCGGCAGCGGCGGCGGCTGCGGCTTCGTTGTAGGCCTGCTGGTGGGCGATCTTGGCGGCTGCTACCTCAGGAGTGTCCTGGACGGGTTCGGGAAGGGGACCAGGGAGGGCGGCCAGAGGGGCGTCGGGAGCCACGGGAAGGTTGGTGCCGGACGTACGGAAACCGAGGGCGTCAGCCACGTAGTGCTGAGTCTGAACCTTTCCCTCAGAGTCCACGTAGTTGTACGAACCACGGACAACACCGAAGGCGTCGCGAGACTCAGCGCGTGAAGAAGGACCACCGGCGTAACCGAAGGAGTACTGACCGATCTCGTCCTGAGCGTGGTACTGAGACTGGACAGGTGCTACAGGTGCGAAGGGAGCTACGTTGTAGGTCACAGGTGCAGGAGCCACGTTGTAGGATACAGGTGCAGGTCCGACATTGTAAGAGACAGGTGCAGGAGCCGCAGTCTTGATTACAGGTGTTCTGAAGGTGAGAGGAGTAGCTGCAGGAAGGGCACCTGTGTATGCGTAGGGCAGCACACCAGAAAAACCTGCATAAGGAAAGGCGCCAAGAAGGCCGTGATGACTTCCATATACGCCGTTGTACGCAAGCAAGGAGGCGCTGCCGCTAGCCACGAGGGCCGCCAAGGAAATCACACTCTGTAATAAATCACTTCGATTAGATTTTTTTTTTAATGAAATGTGAACTGAGGAAAAATCCAATTATAAATTTAACAGAAACCAACAAAATGAAAATACTCATTCAACCTCTGCGAAAACTCAGGTTACTGAACTCACCAGAGCGTTCATGTTGACCCACCGTCAAGGAGCTGTCTGGGTTCTCATGGGTATGACACCGCCTTAAATACCTTGGGAACATCATGACCACCATCTCGAAAAATGGCGAAAGGGGCGTGGCTTTCCTCCCTTTCTACAGTCTTACCTTTTGCACCGATACAGCGCCTTGGCTCTGGGGTGAGGCTGCGAGAAAATGCATTAACATATAACCATTTTGGGAATGTCTCTTCGTCGTTTTGAATAGAAATGCTTTGATACATCTACATTATTTTCATATCCCTTTAGAAGATTGCCAATGCATACGGATTGTAATGCCAGTATTATCATACGTATATTGTGATAATTATGCAATTATATTTACACTTCCTTTTGTGTAATATGTTACACCACGTGAAATATAGAAGGCTATGTTTAGTTTATATTGCTGTGTATCATATTAACTATGTGAAAGAGTGAGATTCTCTGTACGATTTATACAGTGTATTTTATTTCGTCTCTGTAGTCACACGTCTGGCAGTAACACTCTCAGATGGAGCCTGGCATGCGGGGCAGAGGAATATGAAGAGTTCCGTTTCATTTTTGTCAGAGCTGATCTACAATGAACCTACTTTTCATCGGTGTTTTCTTCATCCTCATGCAACATAGAGAAACACCGAGCAAACATAGAACACGAACAAAGATAATTTAGAAAGATGAAAAAAGTATCAATATGAGGGGTTGTTTTTATTATATATTGTCATTTTGAGATCCTTCTCTGATCTAGATCCCTAAAAGAGTAATATATTTTAATAGATTCCCCAGATAATGAAAGAGTCATCAAATATCTGTAATATTATAGCAATTCAAATGACTAACATTCGATTACAGCTACAGTGTAAATTCTGATAATTGATTTACAATTATTTTTCATCATCATTCTCATTATCTTTTTTATTATAATTATCATTATTATTATTATTATTATTAATGTTGTTACCATTGATTGATATCATTATCATTATTATTACTATTTGTATTAGTAGCATTATTATCATATCATTAGTAGTAATATTATAAATACTACCATTACTATTATCATTATTATCATTATTGCTATGATTACCGTCACTACTATTGTTAATATTGTGATAATTATTACCATTATCATTAGTATTTTCATCATATTTATTAATGTTATTTGTATCATTATTTCAATCATTATTATCATTATCATTTTCATTATCATAACCATTATTATTTATGCAATTTATTTTTTATCTATATTACTATTATCAATAACTATCATTAGGAGCATCATTATTAGTATTACCGTTGCTACTATCATTATTACTATTATAATTATTGATACTATAGTTATAAAAGATTTACTATTATTATTATCATAATTGTTATTATTATTATTGTAACTATCATTATCATTATTGAATTTAATATTTTCATTAACATTATTATTATCATTGTTATCATTGTTATCCTTATTGTTGTTACAGTCATTTCCATAATAACAATCATCATTATTACTATCATTATCATATTGATAATGATAATAATAATAATTGTAATAATATTAATGCTGATGGTGATGTTCATGATGATAATGATAATAGTGATAATAATGGCAATAATAATAAAAATAATGGGAATGATGGTGATAGTAACATGATGATTGTAATGATAATAATAATGATGATGATGTTATTGATGATAATAATAATGATAGTATTATTCATAATAATGAATAATGATAGCAGTTACAGTCATGATAATGTGATGATGATGATAATAATAATGATAGTAATAATGATATTCATAATAATGATAAATAATAGTGATAATGATAAGAATAAGGATAACAATGACTGATAACT